ATAAAGAAGGGAAAAAGTGGCAAAATAAGAGAGAGGGGATATAAAGGTATAGGTTTGACATTGACCACAAATTGTGGGTTATTTGTGCAACTATCCCTATTTTATACCACATTTATCCTGAATGCATTGCTATCATCTTACTTTTTTTTTTTTTTTTACATTTTGCTTCATGTGAAGGTTGAAGCAACAGAAGAAGTTTTCTTTTCCGTTACAAAGCTTTTCCAATCGGAAGACACTGGTTTGAGGAGAATGGTCTACTTGATCCTAACTCCATCACCGGACGAGGTTTGCAGTCCCTATTTGTCTTAAAGGCGGAATCTTACACTTTACTGTAGGTATAGTTTCTGATAAGTTGTTTGTCTTTCTCTATAGGTTATTATTGTAACTTTTCTCCCTGATGAAGGACATGAAGATTGATATGTATCGTGCAAATGCTATTCGTGTCCTGTGCCGGATAATAGACGGAAGTCTTCTTACACTTATTGAGCGGCGCTTGAAAGAAGCTGTTGTGGATAAGAATCCTGTTGTTTTAAGTGCAGCTTTTTTCAGTGGACTTCACATGCTAAAGGTATCCTTTACACACCAAAAATATTAGGCTTTTCCTTAGTGTGAGCTAGGTTCTACTGATACACTTGCATTGTTGTTTCCAGACAAACCCTGAAATTGTTAAAAGATGGACCAAGGAGGTCGAACAAGCTGTCCAGTCCAGAGCAGCCCTTGTTCAGTTTCATGCCTTGGCTTTGCTCCATCAGGTATTTTGTCTTTTATAATCTTTGGGATGTAGTTAAACATCCATTGACAATTATATGTATTGATTAGAAATATAAAGAATAAGCTTCTTTAGTTGTTTTGTTGTGACATACTATATATAATTGACAAACATTTCTATGTGAAAGGTTTTGGAGCATACTACTACATGTATTGATTAGAGATATAAAGAATAAGCTTCTTTAGTTGCTTTGTTGTGACATACTTATATATAATGTATGGTCATTGCTGCAATTCTTCATATGTTTATGTGGACACATCAGTACGTATGCTTCATTTTTCTGCCATTCTTTAACGGGAAGATACCATAGATGCAGAGTCGAAATTCTGACCTGCTTTATTTAGCTGCTAAGTCGTGCATATATAGATCACTATCAGAGTGAATACATATCATGCACTCTGATGTACGGTCTAGTGAAGCATATATGCTTAGCTGCTGTTACATTGATGTAGATATTTTTCCAGCTACATATCAGTCCTTTATTAGAAGGTAATGAGAATTGATCTATGAATGTTACAAATATTGATTATCATATCTAGATACGTCAAAATGATGGCTTGGCTGTCAGCAAGTTGGTTGGTACCTTGACCAGGGGAGCTTTCCGCTCTCCTTTGGCCCAGTGCCTCTTAATACGTTACACCAGTCTTCTATATTAATGATAATATGATGTGTGGCTGCTAGTCTCTATGTGATCTAACTTTATTTTTAACATTCTATGATTTTTTGGAGAGTTGTCTGCGCCATAAGGCAGAAATGGTGATCCTTGAGGCTGCCAGGGCTATAACTGAGCTTGATGGTGTGACAAGCCGAGAATTGACTCCAGCAATTACCGTGCTTCAGCTCTTCTTGAGTTCCCCTAAACCAGTGCTGAGATTTGCTGCTGTCCGGACTCTGAACAAGGTGTACAATCTTGGATGAAACATTAAACATTATAAGCCAGTTCATGACC